GCCTAACTCATGCTAGATGGCTCTCCATAATTGCGATATAAACTGCGTACCCTAGTCAGAGATGATAGATACCGGCACGCCATGAAGCCTAACAATCTCGCGAATATAAACCTGAGCCAACTGCTCTGAAGAATAAGTAGTGAACACTGGACTGAAATGAGTTGACTTGGTCAATCTATACACAATTACCCATACTGCATCGAACTTCCTCCGAGTTTGTGGGAGCCCAACGACAAAATCCATAGTGATCCGCTTCCATTTCCACTCTGGAATCTCTAACCTCTGAAGCAATCCATCAGGCCACTGATGCGCATACTTCGCCTGATGACAGTTTAGGCACCGAGCTACATGTTCCACTATGCCTTTCTTTATCCCCTCCACCAATAGTTCTGCCTCAAGTCCTGATACATCTTGGCGGCACCTGGATGAATGGAATACCGCGAATTGTGAGCCTCCTAGAGAATCAACTCACGCAAGCCATCTACATTAGGCACACATAGCCTTCCCTATATCCGTAATACATCGTCATCCCTAATAGTGACCTCCTTGGCATCACGGTGGTAAACTGTGTCCTTGAGGACAAGCAGATGGGGGTAGTCATATTGACGCTCTCTGATACGATCATAAAGAGAAGACCGAGATACCACACAATCCAAAACTTGACTCGGCTCAGAAATATCCAATCTAACAAAACTGGTTGGCCAAGGCCTGAACATCCAAGGCTAGTGGCCTCTATACTACCAGTAAGTATGCTAAACTGCCCAAGACCGGAGCACCCCAAGGAGATACACTAGGCATAATCAATACACATGTGCATAGAACCATCCTTCTTCCTTACAAACAAGACCGGAGCACCCCAAGGAGATACACTAGGCCGAATGAAACCCTTATCCAGCAACTCCTACAACTGCTCCTTTAACTTCTTCAACTCTGGTGGGGCCATACGATATGGAGGAATAGAAATGGGCTGAGTTCCCGGTAACAAATCAATACCAAAGTCGACATCCCTGTCAGGCGGCATGCCCGTAAGATCCACCGGGAATACATCTGGATAATCCCTCACTACCGGAACTGACTCCACGGTAGGACTATCAACACTGACATCTATTACATATGCTAGATACGCATCACACCCCTTCACATCTATCTGCTGAGCCTTTAGAAATGAGATAACCCGACTAGGAACATAATCTAAAGTAATTCTCCACTCTAGCCACGGCTGACCTGGTATAGCCAATGTCACCGTCTTGGCGTGATAGTCAAGAATAGCATGATGGGGCGACGGCCAATCCATGCCCAAAATAACATCAAAAGCTAGCATACTGAGCAATAATAAATTGGCTCTGGTCTCAAAACCACTAAGAACAACTAAGCACGACCGACGCACACGGTCAACAACAAGGGAAACTCCCACAGGTGTGGACACATAGACTGGAGAACTCACGGAATCCCGGAATACACCCAAATATGGAGCAAAGTAAGATGACACATAGGAATAAGTGGATCCTAGATCAAATAAGACTGATGCATCTCTATGACAAATCGGAACAATACTTGTTATAACTGAGTCGGATGCAACTGCCTCCGTCCAAGCAGGAAGAGCATAATATCTGGCCTGGCCTCCCCCTCTAGGGTGACCTCTACCCGCTCGACCTCCACCTCTAGTTGGCTGTGCAGGTGGAGTGGCAACTGGTGCGGTAACCATGGAATGAGAAGCCTGAGGACCTGGTGGAATACGTGGAGCATGAGTAGTCTATGGAGGTGCATCCCTCCTGAGTCTGGGACAATCCCTCACCATATGATGAGTGTCACCACACTCAAAATAAGCTCTCAGAGGATGTGGCTGTTGTGGTTGGCTCGGGCCTGATCGGCTGGACTGACCACTGAAAACATCACGTGCATGAGGTGTACTAGAAAATGGCGGTGCATAATAGGGAGCCTGACGCCTAGGAGTGGCGGGAATACCACTGAAAGCTGGAAGTGCTGAATGAATAGGGCGGCTCACATAGCCCCTACCATGACTAGTTGCAACTGGGGCACGGGCACCACTATATGTGCCAGAATCCCGAGGCCTCTTGGCCTCCCTCTCCTCTCTCTCCCGGTCCCACATACCCCTTAATCTCCTAGCGATCTCCACTACATGTTGGTATGCGATGTCCATCTCCAACTCTCTAACAGTAGTAACCAAGGCTGGTGCATGCCTAGACAAATCACTGAACCAGACCACATACTCCGATACGGTCATAGAACCCTGGCGTAATTGCTCAAACTCTGCGCGCCATGCATATCTGAGACACTGGGGAACAAACTCCCCCAAGAACATGTTTGAGAACTAAGCCCAAGTGAGTGAAGTTGCCTCGTCCGGACTACCCAACTCATATGCTCACCACCGTTGATAAGTCGCTCCCTTAAGCTGGAACGTAGTGAACGCAACTCCACTAGACTCTACAATACCTATAGTACGGAGGATACGGTGGAAATTCTCAAGAAAACCCTAGGCATCCTCTGAAGCCAAGCCACTGAAAGTAGGTGGGTGATACTTCTTGTACCTCTCGAGCCTGAGTTGCTCCCCCTCAGAAGGTGCTACCCTAGCCTCGGGCTGAACTGGGCGATCGGGTGCACTGGTATGACCTCTGGGACCTGGTCAACCTAAACCCGCTGCTCTGGGATACGGGCGGCAGGAGCAAGTGGGATTAACCCTGCCTGAGCTAAAGTACCGAACATGCTCAGAAACTGGGTGAGAGTCTCCCGAAGTGCTAGGGAAGTAACAGGCATCTCAGGTGTCTGCTCTCCAGTTGGAGCTACTGGTGGCTCTTCTCTAGCAGCTCGTGTAGGTGCTTTGGCTGCACCACATGGACGTCCTCGGCCTCTACCCCAGCCCCAGCCTCTCATGGCTCTAGTAGGGGGCGCGGGTGTCTGGTCATCTGATCCGGATGAGCATGTCCTCAACATATGTGAGAGAATAGAAAAATAGAATTTTAGAATCCCGAAGTCAATAGTTTCGCATGATAAGGAATTAAAGAAGTGAAGCTTTTCCTAACAATTCCATAGCCTCCCGAAGATAAGTACAGACGTCTCCGTACCGATCCGCGAGACTCTACTATACCTGCTTGTGACTCATAACACCTATGAACCTAGAGCTCTGATACCAATTTATCACGGCCCCAAATTCTCTCAGTAGGAAGTCGTAATGGTACCTAGTCTCTAAAACTAGGTAATCCTATCAACATGGGGAAAAAATTGAAATAATAACTTAAAAATCTCAAAACTTCAACAATCGTATAAATAAAATATGTAACTCAGAATGTACAACTCCCAAAACCTGGTGAAGTATAAGTCACAAGCTCTAGTAACAATTCTGAACAATCTTATACATCACTGTCTAAGATAGTGTAATGAAATAAGGAAAAACAGGATAGAAAGAGACTCTGAGGTATGCGGACGCGGGCAGGTGTACCTTGAAGTCTCCAAAGTAACCTCAGCTCGCTAATGCCAGGACTGATAGGAAGTACCTGGATCTGTACAAAAAGATGTGCAGAAGCGTAGTGTGAGTACACCACAGTCGTACCGAGTAAGTGCCAAGCCTAACCTCGTTAGAGTAGTGATTAAGTCAGGTCAAGGCCCTACTGAAGATAATATGAAACAAGACGAAAGATATAACGATATAATGATGATGACAATGGAAATGAAATAATAAGAAATTTACGGAAAGTTAACAACACGGAATCAAGACAATTAATACAACACAGAATGAAACAAGGATTTACATGTTAAGGAAACAAACAACCAAGGCAAATACAGCAAATAGAGGAAGATTAACAAGGGCCACTACCGAGGTACCGCCTCGTAGTCCCAAATCATAAAAGTAACTCACAATATTTTCTTATATCACTGCGGGAGCCTTTATATTTAGTTTTGAAAATAATTTTTTCTGAAATAGCACCCCGTGTTTTAGCCCACCTTATCACACCGTATGGCTTCTAGTAGTTCCCTTACTAGCTAGCATATCAAGCCCACCTTATCTCAAACAAGATATTCCAAGAATAGCAATTTCAAGTAAAGAATTCACAGTTAAATAATGAGTACAGAATAAAAGGAAGCAAGTAATTCAACTAAACATGTAGGACAAGTTGCAAATAAGAGATAAGACAAGTAGACATGTGAAATTAGACTAAATATGGTAACTATAACATGTTAAAACAACTCAATTAAGCATGAAAGGAAACTACATAGCTAAAAACCAAAATTTTAATATTTAGCCCGTGTACACACTCGTCAACTTGCGTACATGGCCTTCACATATCACAATTATCACAACAATACCAAATCTTAAGGGAAATTTCTCCCACACAAGGTTAGACAAGTCACTTACCTCAAACAATGCTAAATCAATCAACTAGAAGGCCTTTCCCTCAATTTTCCAACTCCGAACGACTCTAATCTAGCCAAAACAATTTCATACTCTAAATATAACTATAGGAAACTAATTTAAACAATGAAATTACGATCTTTGCAAAGAATTGAAAAATCGACCCAAAACGTCACTCCGAGCTCGCGTCTCGGAACCCGATCAAAATTATAAAAACCCAACACCCATTCGATATCGAGTCCAACCATACAAGAATTATTCAAATCCAACTTCATTTCGCCTTTCAAAACTCAAAACTTTAGCCTAAGGAGTTTCTACCAATATTTTCTAATTTTCAACTCCAAAGCACCAATTAAATAATGAAATTAACAATAGGTTCATGTCAATTAATCAAAAATGAGTGATAACTGCTTAACCTAATGTTCTCTCTGAAAATCCTTCGAAATTTCGCCTCAAACCGAGCTCTCTATGTCCCAAAAGGAATTATGATTCAAACCCTCAAATTTTCCTTTTTCTGCCCAGCGACTTCCGCTTCTGCGGCCCTTGGGTCGCTTCTTCTACGCCGCACCAGCGGAAAAACCATCGCATGTGTGAAAAACACTTAAGTCCTCAATTTCCGCTTCTGCGGACCATGGCTCGCACCAGCGAGCCCGCTCCTGCGGAGTATTCTCCTCTTTTGCGAAGGACGACCAAGCAATCCCTCTTCCGCATCTGCGACCACATCTCCGCACTCGTGGATGCGCAGATGCGGTCCACTTATCGCACCCGCGATCCCAGCTGGGCTAAGCTATTTTCGCACCTGCGATTACCAGCTCGCTTTTGCGAGCCCGCACCTATGGTCAATCCCTCCGCAGGTGCGATGACACCAAAAAAGCCCAGCTTTAGTAGAACTCTAAGTCTAAAAAATGATCTGACTCATACCCGGGGCCCCCGGGGCCCTGTCCGAATATACCAACAAGTCCCAAAACACATGACAACCCTACTCGAGCTCAAAAGTTACGTCAAACAACACAAATTCTACGAATCGCAACCCAAATTCATGCCTAACCAATTATGAACTTCCAAATTTCTAACCCGATGCCGATTCATACCAAATCAACTCCGATTGAATTTAAATTTTGCACACAAGTCATAAATGAAATTACGGACCTATTTCAACTTCCGAAATAGGAATCCGCCCCTGATATAATAAATTTTACTCCCGGTCAAACATTTCAAAATCTTCCAACTTTCCAACTTTTGCTAATTTACTCCAAAACGACCTACGGACCTCCAAATTAACAATCGGACACGCTCCTAAGACCAAAATCACCCTATGAGATATTGGAACCGTCAAAACTCCATTCCAGAGTCATCTTCACACAAGTCAAACTATGGTCAACTCTTACGACTTAACCTTCCAACTTAGGGACTATGTGTCCCGCTTCACTCTGAAACTCACCCGAAACCAAAACCAACCACCCCGGCAAGTTACATAACTACAATGTAGCATAGAGGAAGAAAAATCTAGGGGATCGGGGCTAAAATACTCAAAAGTACCGCCCGGTCGATACATATGTTCACAAAAGCGAATTACCGCTCGCAAAAGCGAAAAACTACCCACCCTCATGATATCGCATTTGCGACACAATGGTCGTATTTGCGATTGTACCTTACTCGCAAAAGCGAGACATTCTTCGCAATTGCGAAGACCATCCAACCCAGCTTCAAGTCGCATTTGCGACCTTCCCATCGCAAAAGCGAATACCCCCAACTCGCATTTGCGACAGCCGCTTCGCATTTGCGAAGATCACAGCCCCTCCCTAGATATCGCATTTGCGAGTCCGATTTCGCAAAAGCGGGACTCGCAATTGTGAATAGGTGATCACAATTGCGGGACTTGCAGACCTGAAACACTAGACTCATCCGAGTCTCTCGGGCTCCAATCCGAACATGTACACAAGTGTAATAATATCTTACAAACTCGCTCGCTCACTCAAATCATCAAAATAACATCAAACATCAAGAATCGATCATCAAACTCAAGGATTTCAACTTACAACTTAAAACACTAATTCGAGGTCGTTTACCAAAAACATTGACCGTGGTCAACTCTACCCTCATTTTAAGTGAAAAATCACGTTTTCTTCAAAATTTCTCATAAAAGCTTTCTGAAAAGCAACACGAACCACGCACGCAAGTCATATAATACCAAATAGAGTTATGAGAGATCTTGAAACATAAAAATAAGGCTATTATTCAAAACGACCTATCGGGTCGTTACAAGTGGGTAGAAGTTTTCAGATTTTACATGTATGAAAAATGAGGCCAAGCCTTTAAATTTATAGACGAAGAAGGGTGAGATGGAGATGTGCAATCCAAAAGGTGCTTCTTTCATTTCTCATTCACACCCTTTAAAGAAAAACCCAAGAGATTCTCTCGGAGAGAGGCTACTCTTTCACCACTACGGCTGAGCGGGAAATTGTTAGAGATATGAAGGAGAAGCTGGCTTACATTGCTCTTGACTACGAACAAGAACATGAAACAGCAAAGACTAGCTCATCTGTGGAGAAGAACTATGAGCTGCCTGATGGACAGGTTATCACCATTGCCCGTGCTGAGAGATTCCGCTGTCCAGAAGTGCTATACCAACCCTCGATGATTGGAATGGAAGCTGCTGGCATTCACGAAACCACATACAATTCCATAATGAAATGTGACGTCGATATCAGAAAGGATATACGGAAATATTGTCCTCATATGGTTCCACAAAGTTGGCAGGAATTGCTGATCGATAGGATGAGCAAGGAAATTACAGCATTAGCCCCAACTAGTATGAAGATCAAGGTTGTTGCCTCACCTGAGAGGAAGTATAGTGTATGGATCGGAGGATCTATTTTGGCTTCCCTCAGCACATTCCAGCAGGTATGCAAATTTGCAGAAATGTTTTAACACTTCTTGCGCGCTTTATCTCTAAAAAGATGCAAATTGAGCTATTGCACTGTCTCATTGTATAGTTGTTAGTGTTAAGCTCACAGAAATTAAGATAATAGATTCCTTTGGCTGTAATAGCAAACTCCTTAATTGGCTTATTTGCTATGGTTGAGAAATGCTGATTACCTGAGAACTAATGCTGACTAGTAATTTCTATGCAAAATGTTGATCGATTTAAGCTGAAAGGTGATTATACATTTGTTGAGATGGTGCAAGACATTTCTTATATCTATTTATTTTTCCTGAGTGCAGATGTGGATAGCAAAGGCAGAGTACGATGAATCTGGGCCTTCAATTGTTCACAGAAAATGCTTCTAAATATAGCTGCTCAGAAAGAAAACAGTTCATTATAAATTCATTTTTTTCATAAATGTTTTCGTGTAGAAGAGCGTATGTCAAATGTTATTGTGATTTGAATTCGATAAGAGTTTCTAACGAATGATTATTATATTATTACTCAACAACAAACCACTGAGAGTGGAGTGTACGCAAATCTTATGTTATATTAGTTTGTGTTTGATGGAACTATTTGAAAAGAGGTTATTTTGTCCCTCATTTAAAAAATAAAGAAAGCAAGAAATGTTTAAAAGCACTTCTTTGTCTTATACAGTTTGAAAATTGTAAATGATGTTTTGGAGGAAAATTCAAATTTGACTATATTATTAATAGTCCAGATTTGGCACTTGAGCACTTGGGGCGATTAATTGGGCTTTGGGCCAATTAAGTAGTCCATAATTAATATTTTAGTCACATATAATTTCATTAATTAATTAAAAATATTTTTAAATTAATATCAGGAAAAACGCTTTTTGACAATCTTTTTTTTAAAATTCAAAAAAGGTGACCATTGATTTTAAAAGGTACCTATTTATGAAGAGACGGTGTATTAATTTCAATAGACTCCTAGAGGTATTATAAATACCCATATCATTTCCAAAACGAAATACATCTTCACATTTTCATCTCTTTCTTTTCTACTTATTTTCTAAAACTCACAAATATTATGTTCTTGTGGGAAATTCGAGTTAATTGCTGAAACTCGAATTTCAATGACTTTGTAAATCCCGGAGGAATTCTGCTATTATCCCCGCAGCAACAAAGTGGGAAGCTTAAATTTCTTAAGGACAGTGATTACGCTATCGAAGCCAGCTTATTTCATCCCATTATTTTTCTAACACCTTACCCCTACCTTATGAAGGTAGAGGGGTTATTTTTAATAGACCCCCGGCTCGAGAAAGAAACTAACAAAAAGTAGAAACAACAAGTAGTGACCATAGTAAGCAAATGTGATATATAAATTGAAAGGACAGAGACAACATATAGTAAAAGAAATCTGTAGATACGAAGAAACGAAAATACGAGACTAATACTAATGTTACCGGCGTGAAAACGCTTAACCACCACCTTAATGCTCAATAAGGGTGTTCACAAAAACCCGAAAAATCGAACCAAACCGATCAAAAAAATTGTTACTTTTTTGGTTTGATTTGGTTTGGGTTTTGAATTTAAAAATCGATCAAATTTGGTTTGGTTTTGCTTTTAATAAAAATATAGCCGGAAAAACTCGAACAAAACTGACTATAAAAGTAGCTATTTAAAATTTATTATTATAATTATATTTTTATTAAAAACAATCTTAAGATTTATGGTACATGGTAATCGTTTTTACTTTTTGTCTAATTCTTTGCCATTATAATAATCTATTTTTTTGCCTTCCCTAGACCATATGTGAATGCGGAATATTTTGTGCACCGGTCTGCCCCCCTCACCCCCTTTTATTTTGCCTTTAAATTATAGTTCGATTGGTAGTTTCCTTTGCTAAGTACAAGAATCTATTTCATGTTTAAAATAATCTATTTTTAATTGAGTTCTTAAATTATTCATTGCTATTTCAACTATCATCAATATAATCTTGTTAAATGATAGATTTCTCAAAGAGCAATTGGTTTGATAGGGTTACATTGAAAATGTGGTCGTCAGAATATGTGTTTTGTAGTGTATGTCTCATATTAATGGAAACGCCGATAAATAACCGAAAAATCGACAAAAACCTAATCGATAAAAAATTGACTTAATTAATTTGGTTTGGTTTCAATATATGAAAAACCGACTTACTTGGTGTGGTTTTTTTTATAGGAAAAAATCGATCCAAACCGAACCATGAAACCCCGCTATTTCTCAACCTCGATACCCTCCTCAAGGGTAATGGTTGACAATTTCTTTATCCAAATATGTAATTTCCTTCATTTCCCTTAAATCTTTTTGCCCCTTATAGCTTTTTCAGTCTTCAAAGCAGATCACGCGAAATTTACCATGTCTAAAAACAAGATGGTGCAACACACAAAACTATGTATTCCAAGTCACCTTAAATAGATTACTAGCCATAACTTACTACAAACAACACAGAATGCAAATCTCCAACGTTATTAGAGTAACATTTCACCCTAGGGACAGGGGAGTTAGTTATTTGACAGGCTTACACAGACTCTGGTTATTACTAGACATAGGGAAAATATACTTAGGCATAGTCACAAAACCCAAATGAACACTTCTGACCAGGAGAGCAAACATTAGAACACTTGCCACAATTGCCATTGTCTTTCTGGATGTCCACACAGATCCCACCACAGCATCTCGTTCCAAGGTTACAGACAAGGCCACAGGAGCCACAGTTGAACCTGTTGGTGGACACATCAACACAACTGTAGTTGAAACAACATGTATTGCGTTCCGATAATCTCTTGCAAGTTTTGCAGATCAAGTTGTAGTCGGTAGAATTTGTCGAGTATTCTCCTAGCTTTCTGGGAGGAGGAAATGCACCTTTTCGCGCAGAAAGAGCAACATCGGTGTAAGAGTTTGTAGTTGCATTTCTACGGTTTGTCTCGGGTATAGACATTGTGGTAATTGGTGTGCTAGAAAGAGTGAGGATGATGAGAATGAGAAGGTTGATAAAAGCCATAATTTGATACTGGTGGTTTCTGCTGAGCTTCAACAAGGTTTTATAGCTATACAAGATGGTATCAGAACATAATGTCAAATGCTAAAATCTGAAACAACATGACTTGTTTTTTCGATCATAACTAGAACCCCAAGAATTTGGGGGGTAATCTGCAATAAGTCAAAGTTGTATTCCCCAACTGTCTATTACAGTTGCCTGTAAGTTGGTGAGGAACATAAATGGAGCTTTGATAAATGTCAAAACCTATGCAGCTTAGAGTTTGAACTTGTTAGTTCAGATCTTGGATTTACAATTCCAGCCCAAAATTATTTGTTCTTGGAAGCTTGAACCTAAACCAAAATAAGGTGATTTAATACTTATAAGGAGATATAATGAGTCTTTTTTTCTACTATGCCCTGAAGTTTTTGCTAACAAGAATGTACAAAAAAGGATATTTAAACAGAGATTAATAGTAAAAAGTTACAGCCCTAGGGTCATTATGCATAATTCTGATTGTCTTTTGATTGTTTAGGAGATCTTACTGCATGTTACAAACAAAATCATTAATTTGAGTTAAAAATAATTTTAATCACACAATTTCATAGACAAAATTATACTTTCCTCAAATCTACAGTGCCTTTCACTTGCCTATATTAGCTTTGCTATATCGTTTAGTTGAACATGATTATGACAACTTGAAGTTTGCATATTTGCATTATATGAACAGGTTGAATCAGCAATGCTCCAATTATATTGAATGAATGAATCAGTTACCAAGAGGAAAATCCTAATAGAACTAAAATGGCGAGTTGCATGGTCTGAACTGATATAGGAGACGGGATGAGCTTCTTTTTCTTCTTACTGCTACAATCGCTTGGAATTATGAGAAGTCTCCCTTGAATATTGAATCACTGATATAAAGCAAAAAGATAATCAATACGAAAGTCGCCCATAAGATGTACAGCAAAATATTTTGTAGCTTCAATCCTTCCCATGTTCGAGTACTCAGAATAACATGATTAGGTTAAGTCTTTCGCCACTTTGGTCCTCGGTAAGCTTTCAAAGTATGTTTTCACTGCTAGAAGACTCCTTCCTGTCAACTTGACACCTATTCACATGGTTGAGCTAGTCAACAGACAAGGATTCAATTAAGCATCATGAAAACTGATAGGCAGCATTGTGATTCTTCCTTTGAATGATTGTGAAGATTCCGCTTCAACCACCTTGACATTACAGTTTACAGGATTATGTAGGTCCAGTGCGCATTATATGTGTGGTGAAATCAAGCGATAATACTCTTCATTCCTCAGATGTAGCTTCTGGACTATCTGTACTAGCTAGATCCACTAACACAGATTGTTATATAAGCCCTCTAGCTGCTTTAGGTGAATCCAAATGTTATCCCCTAAATTTGGGGATCATCATTTTCTCTCGACTAGTTCATTGCTGTTGTTGTTAGCTTCTCTGTACTTATTTCTCCACACAGATCTCACCCGCAGATATATTATTACCATAACTCACAATCACATTCAGTGTTTTCTTTTTCCTTTTGAGCATCTGCAAACATATACAGCTCGGGGCGAGGGAATTAAAGGCCCGAACAGTTCAGAATTGTTATATACTCAAGAATGAACCCTTCAGTGAAAGTCAGATACATTCTACTCGAGGATGAAATTTCACCAAAATTGACAATATTCAATGTCATAACTTCTCATTCTTTGTTTTTCTCTTATCAAATTACAGAAACATGGAAGTAAGAGAATGAAATAACAACGCAACATTACATATCAAAAGCAACAGCTTGACAAAATAAGAAATACAGAAAACCGTTAGAGAGATATGTTACTGACATAAATAATGTAGTTACTATTTCTTACCATGGACAGAAGAATATAGTGAGTCGATGTTACTTAGAAGCCAAAGCAAAATCTTTGCCTTCTAACAAGTCAGAATGGAATGAACTTCCATTTGAAGTGCATAACAACTTTACCTAATACGTATCACTTATCAGACGCCTGTGCCGGTTGTAATGTTTCTCAATGAAGACCTTGGAAGCTCCTTCAACAGTTCTGCGCCATGTCTATACATATGAAAAGAGAAACAAAAAGGTGATTTTAGAACAAATCCATCAGTTTAAGTTTACAATTGCAGATGTGAATAGGTAAAACTAACTGATGAAATAAGGATTGTCTCTTTTGCACAAGACGATCATTAAGCTCTGCAGGCACGTACTGACGATTGTCTCATGTAGACTCTGCCGAATACAAGTGATTCGAAGCCTTGGAAGAATGAGACTTATCGATATTGTTCAGTATATATCTACAGAATGATAATGCACATTTAACATATGGTTTCAAGGCCTTTAGTGTCATTGACTAGCAAAATGACAATGAGAATAGCTTTCATTTCATAAGCCTTATTTTCATTCTTGCTGCAGTCTCTACACCTACATCATCTGGGCAAAATAGAACACTTCTGTGATAAAGTATCATTCTTGCACCGAGCAAATCAAAGGCAAATTCAGGATTTAATATCTGTGGGTTCAACTTTTAAGGCTCTTAGCATTGAACCTATTATAATTTTATATACTTATTTGTTGCCATTTTAGTATATTTTTACACATAAGTTTATACTTCACGTTAAAAGTGTTGGGTTCAGATGGACCCGGCACTGGATCCGCCTTTGGAGCCAATCACGAGTTGAATGTAATGCAGGAGCACAGCCCATATACTGAATGTGCTGAAGAATCTTTATTAAATGGCCGTATTTGACGGATTCAACCAACCTGCTACGTACTTCTATTGGGACTGACAACCGAGACACATTGTTTATGCTGATGCAAATCCAGATTACTTTCTTTTCAATGTAGTTAATATATCAGATTCAAATGCAATGTCAATAATTGCCAATCGATTTCAAGTCTCCTTCTAATGCAACAATTCCACGGCTAGTGGTGGATGTAGAGTGTTAGTTATCGCCTTATCGGTTCATCCAAATCCAGTAACTTTGACTCGGACCATGTATATGTATTAAAAGATTCCCTAAATGAGTACATTTACTTGATTTCGGATCTAGTAAATCAAATGAGTTGCGGTAGAATTCCAAACTCACACTCATAAAATTCAAATTCTGGATTCGCCTTTTTGTTTTCCTACCGGGTAGTAGCAAAGTTTCTCATGCCAATAGGAAATTACTTATTTCTTGGACCATTTCCTTAACCATGTATATCTCTGCTTAAATGATAAATTTCCAATTCTTATCACATAAATAAAGCAAGCAAATTTTAGTTTGCCCCAGTAGTCAATCTTCTCCCATCTCCCCCCAGACTCAAGACAGGCTAAGACAATCCCCACCAATATACCACAAATTTAATGAAGAATCTAATATATAAACTAGTACAGCAAAAGTATTAGAATGTCAAGAAGTTGTGGAAAGCTAACCTTCTCAATAGTACCCAAAAAGGATCTGTTCCTGAAATCCCTAGCTCTACTCTTAGTTTTTCCAATTCCTAAACGCCGAATCAATGCCACGGATCGTTGAGAACCAACAGGAGGTAGAAGGGACTTCCTCTCACCCAAAACAGTAGTAGTGCTGCTCCCATCGGCAGTGGGTTGTATTCTTTTCCTGCGTTTAGCTAACCCGAGTTCCTTCTTAGCTAAAGCTTTATCTTCTGATTCAGAACCCATCTCTGCAAACTTCCTTAGAAGCTGATCTGATGATGCTTTTGTTACATGTTGAACTGTAGCAGCAGCAGCATTTTCCTTTGTTTCCATTTATGATGATTATAAAAAAAAAGAGACAAATAAATTTGATAGGAAAATAGACAACAAGAAGAAGAAAACCAAGAATCAAGAAAATGAAAGAGAGAGATTATTTGGAGATTTAATTTGTTTTCAGTACGAAAGTGATGTAAATTGTGGAAGACGAGGTTAATGCCTAATATGTGGGAAGAATGGACCGTTGGAAGAGAATAATGGATTTGAATAATATAATGTAAGAAGGGGAGAAATAGCCGTTGGGATAAGCAAAACCTATACTTGCATTATTTAACTACTGTGGTGAAGTTATTAAACATTGGTGTATTTGTTTTGCTTAACGAGATATAAGTTGACTGGTCAATAAGTTGCGCCAAATGGATAATATTTCCAACCATGTACAGTTAAAGTAAATGTAAAAAAGAAGTGTGACCTTGGAAAAGAAAACTACATCTGTGACCCAAAAAAAAGAAAAAAACAGAATTAACTTTTATACCACAATTATGAAATTATTTATCTCATTTACAAGGTGGGATATATAATTCAAATTATTATCTTAGGATAACCTAATTTTGAACCAAACGATCCCCAGGAGGTGGATAGGTAATACTAGTTATAATTAAGGTTGTCCAACGGGACGGCCGTCCCATCCCATATCCCGTCCCAACCCACTTAAATCTAAACGGGATGAAGCCATGTTAAACGGTACATGGGATGGGACGGGATGTCCATTTCGTCCCGTTTATCCCGTTTCCGTCTTGTCCTGTCCTGTCCCGTCCCGCCTGTCTCACGTATTTTTTAATTTTTTTTTTTAAATATAGCCGTTGGGCAACGACCTCCATTGCAAATTTAGTCGTTCCCAATGGCTATAAACGGCAATATTTGCCCCCCTCCCCCCAAACTTTAAATATAACCCCTAAGTTTATTAAATTATACTTTGGCCCTATTTTTAACTATAAATACTATATCCTTCTTCATTTTTTCCCACAAAAATCAATCATTCTCTCTCAAATTTCTTACATTCTATCTATATTATTCTCTCAATTTTCTCACAATCAAGTGATCAACTAAGTTTCAAGTATTTTGGCAAATATTTGGAGCAACTTTCAAGTTTCAAATTAATTCGTCAAGTATTTGGAACAATTTTTTTGGGCAATTTCTTCAAGTTTTAATATTTAATCACGATGCACTCATTCCATCTCCTAATTTTAATATATAATTTTTGTGTATCATTTTAGTGCTTAATTTTTATGTTTACTTTACGTGTTCTATTTTCGTATTTCATTTGTGTGTTTAATTTTTGTGTTAACTTTTTAAATTTAATTTCGTATTTAAATTATGGCACCTAAAAATGTATTTGGCCTATTTAAAAAAAGTAGTAAAAAATATAGTAAAGGTGATAGTAGTAGTAATCATAATCCTAATCCTAGTCTTAATCCTAATCATTCTCCTAGAATTAGAAAACATATAGATGAAATGACTCATGTTCATGAAACTTTATTTTCTCAACCCCTTCATGTTATAATATTAATTTCGGAGAACAACTAGATCATGAAACTTTACAAAGATAATTTGAAAATGATATTTTTATTGAGGAAGAAGAATTAGATGAAGCACCCACTAGAAGAATTAGTTGTAAAAGATGGTATTAATTTATTTTCTTATCTTAATCAAGGATTGGAAAGTATTAAAGACGAAGAAGGCAACAAACAACTTTTGGCATGGTGGAGGAAGCGTGGCAAGGCTTTTCCAACACTTTTAATAATGGCCCGAGATATCCTGGCTATTCAAGCATCATCAGTAGCATCGGAGAGTGCTTTTAGCGCGGCAACATTTCAAATCGGAGATCATAGACATTCATTAATGGAGGACAGCCTAGAGATTTCCATTTTATTTAGAGATTGGATTAATTCAGAAAGAAGAAATCTTGGTTTTGAAAAATTAACCACTAGGGAAGAAGAAGAATACAATGAGATACTTAGAACTGGGAGCGATGACGGCATGGAACTCATGGAATATCAATCAACATTGCCAATTCCAGAACAATGTCCGAGAGAAATTATAGATAAGTTACGACGAAACTATATAGGAGCTTACAAATATTAGTATGATAATTTGTAACTGGCTACTAAGAGGCGTAGTTCAAACAGAATCCTTCCTAGAAGGTGGTTGCGTAGATTAGGTGTTCTTCAAAAGAATTATATTTATATGTGAAATTTAAAAGTTCTATTAATAAAATAATACTCTATTATAATTAATAATATATTTTATTACAAGTCTTTTGTTTTAATATTTTATAATTCTTTACTTAGTTTCCTAATTTTATTATAATTTATTAAGTTTTAAATTTACTAAATAAGTCAAAAAACTAGCCATTGCAAACTTTAAAAACTTAGTCATTGTCAAAAAATTAGTTGTTGCCAAACTTAATGCTTAAATAATTAAATTTTGTTTTTTTTTAAAACGGTCTACTTAAGGCCCGCGAAACCGTCATGTCCCGTCCCGTTTGTTAGCGGGATGGGATGGGCCTACCGTTTCGTCCTGTTTAGGCCCGTCCTGCCACCGTCCCGGCTAAATGTCGTCTCGTCCCGTCCCGTTTATTTGGTCTTGTCCCGTCCCGTCCCGTTTATTTGGTCTCGTCCCTTCCCGTCCTGTTGGACAGCCTTAGTTATAATCAAAGGATTATAATATTAGAATAACTTTATTTTGAACCATACGATCCCTAAGAGTTGATGTACAACCCTATTTGTGAATATGCTTGGTTTAAGTTGGACATATGGATAATTACATCTTAATCCATTCTATTAAGCCTGTCAGGTGCCACATCAGATTTTTCGAAGAAAAATATATTTTTGGGCCAAGTTTATACTTTATATTTTATTTATCTAGGCCTTAATTAGATGACTTTTATGTTTAAGAAAACAAATGACTTTTGTGTGATAAGCCTTTACTTGAATGACCATGGGCAAAATGTTCCCAAATAACTTTTGTTCTGCCCCTAATTAATTAATTAATGCATATACAAGTTACCATTGCTCATATCCAAATTTAAGTTATATCTGCGCTCGATTTTACGCGATATAATCATATTTAATGTTTCTTTTATAACTTTTACCGCTCCAAGAACATCAAGTGTAGGTCTTAAGGCATTACGTTCAGTCACATTTATATTTGGTGAATATAATTAGATTTATGAAAGTTTACATAGGAGCAAATGAAAATATTGCTTCCAACTCTGTGTTGGGTTCATTCCGAGGTCACTAACTAATCATTCTTAAGAAGATAATCTTGAGATTTAAGGAAGAAAATACTTTTTTACTATTACAGGGCAGATTAATTAAATACATGCATGAGCAATCACATTGTATTGAGTAAAATTTACAGATGACAAGTAGATGCTTCCCGAATAGACACGTGGTAGTGAAGAGAAGTGGAAGATGAGTAAGCAAATAGCTTACATCGAAAATAGGTATGTGACCGGTATGTATAAGTCCCGAAGGCATCTTGAACGGAGACGAGAATTTGAAAGTAAGATACCGGTTAGAAAAGTCAACATTAAAGGAGCAACCGTTATAGAAAATAGCATTTATTGTCAATCGTTATGCATCTATCAAGAAGGGGTTTTACTCACCTTGAAAAGGAGCATAATTTGAGGATCTTATCCCCTCTAATTTAGCTATAAATACTGAAATTTGTACTCATTGAAGGATACGAAATACTTGTAAGAAAAAAGGCTGATAGTATTCTCTCATCCTATAAAGTTTTATTTTACTACTATTAAGATTCTCGCATTGTTCTTGTCTCCAGAGAGATCAATTTGAAGCTCAGGCTTGTCTTTTCTTCAATTATTTTTATTTTACTCGCTTTGCTTTTTGTTATTTAATTTTACTGGGCTATAAATCACGTTACAGATTTAATTGTACCGTTTTACGGGTAAACAGTTTGGCATTTACCCAGGGACATAGACAATCACGGTATTACTTTGATATATTCCTCTTTTACTAACGTACTTTGAAGTGTTTCTATAGTAAGCAAAAAATAACTATGGCACTCAATGATGTCAACAACTCGCTCAATGCTAGAACAAACAACGGCAACGAGCATGTGGATGATTTCCATGGTGGGGATCAGCAGGATGATTCAACAAGTGAAACCCGTATCGACGTGAATGAGACAACTCTGAACCGGAAAGAATAAAATACTCGGCATGCATGGAGTCCTACCGCTGATGATATGGATGATGAACCCGTTGCTGATACGGTAAAAGTTTTGAGAGCACAGCAATGAGAAATCATGAATCATCTCTCAATACATGAAGAAATAATGACTGAACTCCACCAAGCGCTATGGGTTGCTTCAAATAATTCCAACGGTGGAGTTCGAGCTCCTCTTGGGGTGCCTATAAATCAGACGGCGCCAAGAACCGATAACATCACTTCAAGGGAGGAGTTCAGATCGAATAATAACCAAGCAGGTAGTGCAGGCAGTGGATCCGAAAATGATAACAACACAGATGATCCTTTTAAGACCGAGCTCATGAGGTTCATTAGGGAAATGTATGCTCGAATAGATCAAAATGCTAAAGAATTTCATACTCTGATGGATCATATCCGGGGGCAACCCCGGTCCTGAAGGACCTGGACTCAAAGAAGTATATTCAGTTGTCGTTCAAACCAAGTGCGGCCCTGGAGTTGATTCCAAAGAGATTCAAGATGCCAGATATTCCAAAATACGATGGAACATTGATATTCAGCTTAATGTATGCATATTTTGATGTATATTGCCTCACATTGTACTACTGTATCGTAGATTTTGGATTTGTAATATAATAATTTGTGCTAAGTTGTGGTATTTCTATGTGTAGGAATCATTCGGATGCGATTTGGGACGAAAGTGTGCGAATTGGAGCGAAAATGGGAAGAAAAGGCAAAACTGCACATTTGAAGGCCACAGGCAGCGCGGGTGGCGCACAAAACAGAAAGTAGGAAAGTTGAGCGCCAGAGCCAGCGCCCCATGCTGCCCTGGACGCTCAAAATGGTAACATGTCCTATTTCGACTAGGACTCAGTTATTTCGACCCAAAATGTCCCCAACTCATATAAAAGCCAACCTAAACCTATTTTGAGGGGGAGGACGTGACTTTGGGAGAAAAATAAAAGTACGAAACACTTGGGAGCACGGATTTGAT